ATTAACTGTTTCGCTGCCAGACAAGGCTCCGCTGATAGCCAGGTGTAGCAGTGGTAAGGATTCACTCCATGGTACTGAAAAGAAAGCTCTGCTGTTGGGACAGCTAAATGTAGGCCTTAACAATTTGTGGGCACCATTTGTCACCGTTATAGAGCAATTAATGTATTGTTTAGTGTTGTGTTGTGTAGTAGCTTTGCTGGCATGCATCTAAAAAAAAATGTGGGGGGTTTGCCCCACCAAGTATGTATAGACTATTGTACTGGCCTGTGTGGTACTCTTTCATATGTGATGTAGTTTGTTGCATCGTATTGCTTAGTTTATCATTTGTGTCAACTTTGAATTAAATCTAAGCCACAGATTGTTAAATTCCTCAATTTTGTACTTTACCTTTATAGTCTCCAATGGTCCCAGTACTGGTTGATGTGCTACCTAAGTGACCACACACACTCAAATTGACCTACAGCTGGGGTAAGATTCTTTCATCATTCACACACAGTAGACATAGTGTAAACCACCATGTTGTCAACAAAATGCTGTCCTCTATGCTTAAATTGTATTGTGTTTGGCTCAATTTGTGGAAATGCTGTGATTACTCATCGTCTTTGGAACTCTCCATCTTATCGCTATAAACCCACCCTACCTTCACTCATTTTCCCTATTCACTTATTCTTCTCCTGATTTGATAACATCTAGACTCAGTAACACGTTTAAAAGTTTTGTGGTGTACTGTTTTTGCTACCTTTTTTTCACCTTTGTAATGCTGTCCTCCTCCTGCTTATTCTGGATTTCAGACTGAATGCAGTGGTAAATCTGCTGCTCACAATTGACAGCAGCAACATGGACAAGAAGAGGGTTGATATAGCTGCGTTTAGGCATGGCTTCCTTGTTTTGAGTCTGTTAAGTGTGTTTCTCATCCTGCTGGAGTTCACCTAGTATTTTATATTAAACCTACCTTACGCATCCAGTTGTTTCTCCATTTGTAACTCAACCATCAAAAATCACTAAATGCTGTTTTACATTTTGTGTTATTCGTGTTGGTCTAATTCCTATAATGAAAAAGCAGAAGAATCTGTGCGCTCTCGGGTAGTATTAATAGTTCATATGGTGCTCTTCGATGTCCCAGGTTTGTGGCATTGATTAATAGATAATTGTATTTGTACTTTCAAATCAGATGTTTATATGTTATTTTATGTTTAAAAGGCATATGTATGCATTGTCTACTGTTTTAGATTTATTTAAAACAATATAATTGTTGGAGTTCAGGTGTTTGAGGTGATTGATGGGTGACTAGGTGCATTCTTGTCAAATAAATATGCTTATTCATTCATGATTCTTAATACATTCTGCAATGAGTTAATCTGGCTTTGAATCTGCAACAGAACATGTTAACAAGTTAGTTGACACCATGCATTCTGTCACCATGAATTTAAATAGATTTCACCTCTTTCATATAGTTGGCAGAAATTATAAGGGATTAAATATAGACCTCAACCGGCTGAAGGAGAAGAGGATCTGGTAAAATAAAGGTAGCCTATGTTGCTAATATCATCTAGGCAAATAACTATCCTAGTATTCATGGCACATTGTAAATATCTGACTGCTACTAGGATAGTATTCTGTACAAGACACAAGACCAAATGCATAAATAAACCAACACATTTTTGTTAAATAAAATATGGAATAGTAAATTAAATTGTTCAATATATATTTCGTTTTGGATCAAGGTAGCTTCCTGCTAGCTAGCTGACAGCAAAGATGGCCTGCAGGAACTTGCAGGGATTTGTAGTCTTGCATGATGTCTACTTTGATGCTAGTTACCATTTTCTAATCTGAGATTAAATAAAGTGGAATATATTGATAAAAGTCACCTTGTCCGAGAGACATTTACACGGTTTTCAAAACATCACACCAGGGAAAGCCTGCATGAAACACAAACCTTGTTTAAAGTGGTTCTAAATTTCCCCATGGGAAAAATGAGCAGATGTTATTGTGGGTGTAGCGAAATGCTTGTGCTTCTAGCTCCGACAGTGCAGTAATATCTAACAAGTAATATCTAACAATTTCACTACATATACCCAATACACACAAATCTAAGTAAGGAATGGAATTTAAGAATATATACATATATGGACAAGCAATGACAGAGCGGCATGGACTAAGATACAGTCGAATATTATAGAATACAGTATATACATATGAGATGAGTAATGTAAGATATGTAAACATTATTCAAGTGACTAGTGTTCCATTTCTTAAAGTGGCCAGTGATTTCAATAGGCAGCAGCAGCCTCTAATGTGCTAGTGATTGGAACCATTTCCGTGTTTGACCTCTAGGTTTTATGAGTATTATGATGCGTTCACTGTGGGGCTCTATGGTAGACTGTGACAGAGCAGGTAAATGTTGAACTGGAATGCATAAAATGCACTGAAAAGTTACTTACTGGCCCTATCGGGCCAGTGAGTGACGAGATCCACTGGCCGACACATGTTTTACTTGCCCCGGTGTGCCATCGTTAATGTCGGACCCTGCATGCGAATGAAAATAAATGAATGTGCCAGAAAACAATAGGCTAAGTGGATTTTGACTCATTGCCACATTATATGGGATGTGCTAATTCACTCACATTATATGGGACGTGCAAATTCATGCTCTCTCCCTCCATGTAAAAATCTGCAACCACAGCGCACACAATACACACCCGTGAATGGCAATCAACCTATGCCAGTTGCTGTGATAATAAAAACAGCCCAAAGCCAAAGTGAACAGCATACGAAATACTTTTATTATTTTAGAGGCTTATCTCATAGGGTTTGGCCCGAACACTTGGCATAGTGACTTAGTTGAACTTTACAGACCAAGGCAGGTGCTTGAAGAAGGCAATCCTAAAAATATCCTCATAAGAATCTTGATGAGGACAAGGACAGACTCAAGAAGGCCTCAGTCTAAGCCTATGTTTCTTTCAGCTTTCTGTCTACATTACAATAAGATATATATTTACACACTAATAATAATTAGGAATTACTCAATGGAATTACATTTCATTTTCCCAATATCAACTTTGGCTGTTCGGGGTCTTCACGAATGGCTTGCCTCTACTTTTTGTCAACTGTGGCAAATTATCTGTTCAATTGATATGGTTAGCCTTCAGTGCTATGGATGATATGAGAGATAGTCAAACTGATCAATCCATTGATTAATCAATATTTCTTTAGGTTAATTTCCAAACTTAAACAATTGCTAAAAACCTGTAATGTACTGTACATGTCCATTTTAAGTAACTCTTTCCCTGTAGATAGTGTTTTACGGTTACTCTTCTTATATCCATGTTCAACAGTCTGAACAGCAGTGACAGTTATCTAACATTAGAACCAGGGGCACAACTTTCACTGGGGACATGTCCCCCCCACATTCTGAAATTGCATTTTTGTCCCCCCCAGTTTTATCATTGGAATGTGATACAAAACAAGGCAACCGTGTGCTTTAGGACCATGCGGACGCCTCTGAGCGATCGGTAGGCTGTTTGGAGTGTTTATCAGACTGGATTTTTGTATTATTAAAAAATAATGATATATCCCCCCCACTTCTAAAACCAAAGTTGCACCCCTGATTAGAACTACAGTATATGGCTACTGTAGATTGTCAAAGGGAGCAGAGGGCTGTTGAAATACCATCACACTTCAGTATCCCATGGAGGCTGTCTGCCTACAGCCAACTAATACTTAAAGAGTTAGCAGGGAGGCTACTTGATACATTATCTGGCAGCTCTTTCCTATCTTACGCCTCTCAGATTGTGAACAATGCCTCGAGGGGCTGGTTGACCTGAGTCTTTCACCAGCAGTACCTCTTCACTGACTGTACACTTGACCTGAGCTAATACAACACCTCCCAGTAGGACAACTTCAACACAATGCTGATGGAAATAAGCTGATGTAAGCCCTGCAGACAGCTCCATGGATAGTACTGGGCACTGGCACAGTTATGGTCCAGTATCCTGGGACAAAAGGACAAAAAAACATTAAACAGGATTCGATATTAAATCAACTCACAATGACATGAGGAAAAAAATCTCAATACATTGTATTTACTGTAGCATGGCCCACTGCCAACATGCTGTTTCTAAACAAACTGTTTATAAAATAGACTAATGCAACTGTATAAGAATGTGTAAACTTGTAAACTCCATAGGGTAAATGTGCATTTCTGTCCCAGTTCCTGCCATCTTCTTGGGATAGTGTCAAAGCCAGATTACCGAACGGGCACACAGAGCAAGTGCCCCAGGGCCCCTGACCTCCAGATAGCATATGGTAGCAAAATGTGTATAATTGCAGGAAATTAGCTTTAAACCTGCAACATGTTCTCTCAGCCTCATGGCAAAATGTGTAGAATAGCAGGAAATTAGCTTTAAAACTGCAAAATCTTCTGTCAGCCTCATGGCCAAATGTGAACCAAAGCATGAGATGAGCTATAAAACAGCAAAAAAAAAATCTCTTCCCCATGGCAAAATGTGTATAATTGCAGGAAATTAGCTTTAAAACTGCAACATTTTCTCTTAGCATCATGACAAAATGTGTAGAATAGCGTTATAAAACAGCACATTTTGTGGTAGTCCTGCCCTGGATAGTGTCCTTCCCAAACAGCAGCATGTACTACCTTAGAAATGGGAACGTACATCTTGAAGGGGCTGCTCTCCTACCCGTCAAATCAGTCATGTCTAGATGGGATACAGCGTTTGTCAAATTTGAAGTCAAACATGTTATTTTTGTTTGCATTTTTGTTAACCCTAACCCTTTACCTAACCTTAACCTAATTATACTAACTTGCTACGTGAATTATCATAACCTGCTACGAAAAGTCAATTTTGACAAAAGCTACATCCCTTCTAGACAAAACCCATCAAATCCCATATATAGTCATATCAATGGTCAAATGTCTGAGAGCAGCGAATCACCGAGCAGATCCATAAAGAAAGATACGGCAAGGGGAAGCGACCCCGAGATGCCGTCTCCAAAAAAGTATTGGATGTCCAAAGGAATTTAGTCGCCTCCCCTTCTTGACAGTACATATTTGACAGGGCACATTCAAAAAGAGCTTGCACTCCAGCGCAACGTTCAGTTAAGCACAGACGCACAGTCTCTCTCCTCGGGTCTCTTTCGAAACATTTGGTGGAGCCAAACAAAAAATAAGCAGCCATGGATGCCATCAAGAAGAAGATGCAGATGCTCAAGCTCGACAAGGAGAATGCCTTGGACAGAGCTGAGGGAGCCGAGGGAGACAAGAAGGCAGCAGAGGACAAGAGCAAACAGGTCTGCATTATATATGGAAAATCTAAATGATCCTAGAAAAGGCACCTGAATACCGGTGGCTCTGTGCGCCGCTGTCTCTAAACATGGATCGATCACCTCTTCAATGTGGATTTATCACTTTTACGGATCATTCGAAATAAGGAGTATTTAAGTGATATTTATGAATAACATATCACAGAGGGTAGGCTAATTAGTGACCTGGGTATGAATTATCTGAATAATTTTTAATTATTATGTCCATGTCACTAATTGATGGGTGGGTGAAGTTTTATTAATGTAGCCTAATTATAATTAGGAAAATATGTGTATAGGAAAATTACTGTATGCTAATTAGAAGTAGGCAATATAGAATAATTACTGTGAGGAATATGGATAGGCTATTGAAAAACATGTATAGGCTTCTTTCAGCAGAAATGCAATAGTCTATTCACTTGTTTGATGTTCTATTCAACTAAATAAAATGTTGTCCTTTATGCATGTGTAGTTAGAGGATGAAATAAGTGAGTTGGAAAAGAAATTACGGATCACCGAAGATGAACGAGATAAAGTGCTTGATGAGTTCCAAGCCGCCGAGGAAAAGTTGCTGAGCGCGGAGGAGGTAGCCACCAAGGTATTTTGTGTGGCTCGCATGATTTTCCCTAACTTCTCTCCTCTCTCTCTCCCTTTCTCTGTCTGTCTGCGTTCTTGCGCCCTGTGCGCGCTCACGCCCTCTGTTTCCCGCTGATCACCCCTGTGAAACTGTCCACACTAAAACAAACCTCAGCTCGAGGATGACTTGGTAGCTCTGCAGAAGAAGCTGAAGGGAACAGAAGATGAGTTGGACAAGTACTCTGAGTCTCTTAAGGATGCCCAGGAGAAACTTGAGGTGGCTGAAAAGACAGCCACGGACGTAAGTAAAGGGCACAAAATCACCATTCCTGCACACTGCTTCCCACATCTGTCTCACAGATCAAATTGTAAAATATGTAAAATGACAGTTTTACGCGAGAGGCCTTTATTCGGCCTCATCACTCGGTTTAAAGTCCAATCTCAGATTACCAAATGTAGGTAGAATACTATTTAGGTGTGGCGCACCTGTCGAGCCCTATATGTCTATGGGCCAGCTGGAATGTAGCGTATTATGATAAAGGAATAATATTTAAATCACATAACCAATCATGATGTCATGCCAGATATTGTTGAACTGTCATTTTATATATTTTGTTTATGGTTGTTTGTTTGTCTGTTGTCAAAGATCACAAGTCACCTAAGTCATATCAACATAAAGAACACAAGTGTTCTTGTGTTTGAATCTCTCCACATAGATAGCCTACATATGAGACCCCTAAACTATAGGCTGCGTCAATTTAAGACAGTAAATCAGATTCCTCTCCACAGCTCCTTAAAGTGGGGACATTTATGAGTGGAAACTGAATTTGTTAAACGTGCAGTCTCCAAGTAGAGAGCGAGCGCACCGCACGGATAAATATAGCCCACTGCTTTATATGGTCATTGGTCAAGTTAGAGCTTACTTTTTTTGGGCTGTGCCTGTTTCTTGCAACAGAACAGACTAGGCCTACAGTAAATTAGTTTCCATTGAAAATGTAATTTTCTAACTATTCTACCATCAACCTGAAGTATTTTTTAATAATGAGCTATTTACTAATTAAATCCACTTTTAGACCTATGGTATTTTTTGCAAGATTATTCTTCTATTTTTAAAGACAATCTATCTTATTATTAATGTATTTTATGTTTATTGTTGTTATTTTGCGGTACATTTTGTTAAACTCATACCCTACAGTGTAATTTGGCTTCCATACAGTGTAATTTGACTTCATGCAGGGAAGAACTTGAAATTAGGGAAATGCTCCATAAAAGGAAAACTATGCGAAACGTGTGTATGTAGATTCATGCGTGACACCAGTAGCTGCTTCCAGGGGCAGAAAAAAAATGTATAAAATACCTAGGCTTATCATGTTATGGCAATAATATTAACAAAGAAAAAACATTAGCAAGTCAAGTTAATCCCCCTTCAATAATTAAGAAGTTATCAAATTAGATGTGACATTCAGTTGACAATTGATTTTCATTTATTGAAAGTGTCTATAGGGTAGCCTACATCACAATAGACTAAAGGGACTTCCTATGCTCATCTCCTTTCCTTTATCTGCACTGATATGAAAGAGTTAAACTGTTAAAATATATACATTATTGGTAGGCATTCACCTATCATACGTTTTCATATCACTGCAAATGAAGGAAAGGAGATCAGGAAGAAACGCACTCGTTGAACTCCGTGAGTAAAATTCCACAAATACGTAGAGGGCCTCCTCTTGGGGCTCTTAAGGAATTATACAGTCTGAAAATCTTGTCAGTCCCATGTGTACTGTCTAGATAATGCCAGCAGATGGTGCTATATACCAGTGCAAGGTACCTGGTGAACGCTTGTACTAACTGGGCTTGCCCTTATCATTACAGTACGGCTAACACAGATACACTTTTTATTATGACCAAATGTTGGTTAACCATTATTATATTACGAAAACAACAAAATAATTAATGTTTAGTATACTTTCGATATATTTTCGTTTGTTGTAGGCTTGGACTTGGTTATGAAAACATGGTTACTTCCGGTGTAATGCTCGGTTGTTGCTGTGTGCGTTCCTCACAGACGACCGCGGGCAGCCTCCCTCCATTTCCATTCCAAGGAAAGTCTTAAAAACGAGTTTTTCTTAGCAAGTTCAAATAATGACAGGTATAACATCACTGGAGGCCGTTAAACGGAAAATAAAAATCTTGCAACAGCAGGCAGACGGTGCTGAAGAGAGAGCTGAAAAACTACAGAGAGAATTGGGTTTGGAGAGGAAAGCCAGAGAATCCGTAAGCATGTCATAAAATAACTGCGAAGTTGTAAAATTGCTCCAAAATGTGTGTTGTCAAGTGCAACAATGATATATTCATTTTGCGATGTTTAATGTCCGAGTGAGTAGCACAGCCTTTTAAAATGCATGATGATGCACGCAGTACTGACATAGTGGAATTTCTCTGACATCCCGCTGTGTTGGTAGCTAACAAGCTAAATCTGTCATGGTCATTGGTTACGATTCGTCAACTCGGACAGATTACGAGTTTGAGGCGAATTGGATGATTGCCTCGTGTAAATAGTGTTTAGCTGTGGCGGTAGAGCACTTAGAGCACTTCAGGCCTTTTTGATGGATTTCAATGATACTGTAACCACCATGTTTCTGATATCGTAGTCCGTTAATATTTTATCTTCATTGATGGCCATGATGTACAAAGGTAACTGTTGTCACAAGCAGTTGTTATTGGATTCAAACGTTACATTCTTTAATGGTACTGCATCATCCCAACTATTCATCTCCTGGGTATGCTAGACTTCTATGCACATACTTTAGTGCACATAACCTAAAGTAAATTATATATTTTTTACATAATTGCATCAGAGTTAAACTCTAAACTCTTTGAAATTATTTTCCATTTAAACAGGAACGAACGTCAAACAATTCTACAACAGAGCTGAGAACAATATCAATAGAAGAATGTCGTTTTAAACAAGGTTTTCCTTATAAGGACAAAACGTTGTCGCATGTTCTAAAGAACGGGGCCAGCCTCTGAGCTATAGAAACAGGAAATAAAGCCTGTCTGCATTTGCCATTAAGAAGGTTAATTGCCGTCATCAACATGGTCACTTCATGTTAGTTTATTTAAAGGAAACGTTTTGGGTGGGGTTTGAAAAACCACTAGATGAACTGATAAAGTTATCTTAATTTCACTGGCTAGTTTCCATATCTCCCTTCACAACATGAGATGGACTTTGACCCCGCACCACTCTTGTGTTAGTATGTGATCAGGCCTCTGTGCGGTTAACCAGGTGCAAAGATGTCTCATGGTATGGTGGGGTATGCAAAATAGGTCAACTCTGAGCACCTTTATCTCTTGAATGTTTTGGCATTCAGGTCCAAAAAGTCACTTTCTGAGGCCTTCTACAATGGGCAAATGTGTATGGAAGGTTTCATTCAAATCAAAAGGGGTGCTGTCAAAAAGTGATTTAAGTGTTTTTAAAGATTCTAAATAAGTTGTCTTTGGTGCATATAGAAACAACAAATAATAGAGCAGTGGCTGTCCATATCAATGTTCTGCTATCAAATGTTCTGTTTTATTACCACTAAAGCATATCTGTAGCATTGTAACTGAGTTTTTACTTCCTCAGTATAAAGTATCTTATAAAAAATTGTGTGACGGTTCCATAACTTATTGTTGGTTCTAGTGGTAAGCTAATTAGAACAGTAGGGGGATAAACTTGATAATAAGTCATACCACCACTCACCAGTAAAATAACAATAAAAAACTAGCCATTTAGAGAGGATGAAAGGCTGAACTTAATCTAATCTTCAGATTTGGTCCACTGGGGACTCTTCTTCACTGGTTGTGTGTGTGTGGCCTTTGACAGTGTAAACCTCTTTGGCCCACCATGACTCCTTGTTAATGTCCCCTCTGGAGTCCAATAATGAGGCCAGGTATTCAGCCTGTGTCAGCCAGGAGCATTGTTGTCATTACACACAGTGTGTGGAGTGCAGCTCAGCACAGGGGAATCTTCCTGGGAAGGCCCTTTTCTCTCCCCAACAGGTGACACTGTCATTAGGCTGGCAGATGGAGAAAGCACCATTTTAAATAGTCATTACCCAGACCTCTCACCTATAAAACACACAAGACACTGAGGTGGAAAAGTCACCAGCATTCTTTATGTTGATATTTGTGTGTCCATGTTTGTACTATATATTTGTCTCTCTTAATGGATTTTACCCCAATATTTAAGTTATTCTTCTCTTCTCTCCTAGGCTGAAGCCGATGTCGCTTCCCTTAACAGACGTATCCAGCTGGTTGAGGAGGAGTTGGATCGTGCTCAGGAGCGTCTGGCAACTGCCCTGACCAAGCTGGAGGAGGCTGAGAAGGCAGCTGATGAGTCCGAGAGGTATGTACTTATGGTGGATAGGGAGTTAGACCATAGAGTAGACAGAGTTTCTCTTGCCCCTTACTCTATTTGGAGTTGTTATGGCCTTTAGCGAAAGTCATGACTGGCAGTGCCACTGACCGGTTCCAACAAACATAAGCTGTTTCAGCGGAGACTATGAAATCCTGAATAAATGGACCATGAGGCTCTGTTTCCATTCCTTTGTTTGGTGTATAAACAACCCCTCTGTGCTGTACAGCCCAATGCCTGAATGTCTGAGACTGTACATCAGACCCTGTGTAGGCTGGGCCTGCCCTGTCATCCCCAGTGATATAGTGGTGCAGTATTTTCCCCTCAGTCCCATAAGAAAGCTGTCAGGCCCAGGCCTTGACTTTGAAAGGGCATATTCAAGTTCACCAGCAGCCATCTAGCCAGTGTGGATGTGCACTGGGTGTACGCGGCACTCCCAGAGAGCTGCTTGCAGTGTGTCTGCAGTGGTGCCTGCTCACCCAGGTTTAGTCTGGGCTGGAGCTATTGATTTGAGTCATGGAGTTACAGCACAGTGCTTCTGTGAGCCTGGGAATGGGACTCTTCCTAGCCTAACATCTGCTGCCTGTCTCTCCCCTTCCTCCCTACAGAGGCATGAAGGTCATTGAGAACAGGGCCTCCAAGGATGAGGAGAAGATGGAGCTGCAGGATATCCAGCTGAAGGAGGCCAAGCACATCGCTGAGGAGGCTGACCGCAAATACGAGGAGGTGAGTCTCTCAGCTGCTGCAGCTGCTGGCTGCTTTCCAGTTGTCTCTACAGCCCAGCCCCCGCACACCCTGCCTTGAACCTACCCTAATACCACACAATAACGTAATGGCACACACTATGATTGAGTCCACTTGTCTAGCAAACATGGTGGTTTAGTCATCTCTACCCTGACGTACCCTAATTCGTATAGGGTATATGTCCACATATATTGGGTGTATATACACAGCCATTCTGTGAATAGAGTGTAACTCCTTGGTGTGCTGTACCTAAAGGTTGCCCGTAAGCTGGTCATCATTGAGAGTGATCTGGAACGTACAGAGGAGCGCGCTGAGCTTTCAGAAGGGTAAGATTTTTCACTGTCACCTAAGAGTAACGCTGCACTTTATTAGCATGCATGGATGAAGTTATTTAACGCCACGCCTGACTCAAAGTTAAAAGTACTTTTTATTTTGGACGTGTTGCTCACTCTTGTTGTTGCATGTACTATTAATTTGCATGTGTTCCATGTTTTGAATGGCCTTTCGTTCACAACATCCACTAACAGACGGATTCGAAGAGAGGAGGACGAGCTAAGAGTTTTGGAACAAAGCTTAAAATCACTTACAGCTTCCGAGGCAAAGGTACTGCAGACTAACAAAGTATTCTGTCAGGTCTATCTTTAAAGACTTATGTACTACTTCCTCTTGTCACGTTCATTCACTCTGCTGAATGAAGCCTCTCTTTCCTGCCAGCACCTTGATCTGCTTTGCTACCCTTTCCTATGTTTGGGCTTATGCTCGGGATATCCTAGAACTATAACCTTTTACACCTCTAACCTGGCAGGAACTGTGCAAGAATAATATTTTTCATATGCAATATTAGCATTCTTAATCTAACCAAATCTGCAAGCTAAAAGGCATTTACAAAAGTGTCTTTGTAGTCTCCACCTTTGTTGTCGCATTCCTGCTGTGTTAAGGCACTTTGGTCTCCTTCCTGTAATTCCCCTAGTTTGTATTCATCTTGTTTTGTTTCTCCTCCCCTCTCCTGCTCTCCCTCTGTCCATCCTGCTTCCATTTGTCATCGGTGTCTCAATATCCCCCTCCTCCATTTCGGCACAATTTCCTCTGGACCATCCTCCACTTCCTCCTCTCCTCCGCACCTTCTCCCCTCTAAAACAACAGCAAATGCTCTGAGCTTGAGGAAGAGTTGAAAACTGTGACCAACAACCTGAAGTCACTGGAGGCCCAGGCTGAGAAGGTAGGTAGTCTGCCGCTGTGTTCAGACCCAGGCATGCTGTCCAAATCCCAGATTCCCCAGAGCCATACAGGAGAATGAATGGATGGAACCTGAAGAACCATTTACAGCAACACTTGGCTCATTGGATACAGTATCTGGCTTACGAAATTGGCCTGGGCTAAGATTAGTCAAACATTGTACTTAAAGAAGATGTCAGGCAAAAATACCTTTTGGTATTTGTTCTGTTAACTGAAGATAAACCTATTGTTGCTCATTACGTTTTTTAGAACTGTTTGATAAAAAATCATTAGATGTAAGGTCTTTGTTTCATATAAAATATTACGTGCGAGTGTTTTTAGGCTCTGCCTCAGTCTCTGTAGACTGGCGGAGATGTAACAGTTATCTGTGGGTCGATGCATGACTCCTGTTTCTGCTTCTTTTGGTCCACAGTACTCACAGAAGGAGGACAAGTACGAGGAGGAGATCAAGGTCCTCACCGACAAGCTGAAGGAGGCAAGTTTCACAACCCCCTTTAGCCTGGCCTCTGGCCAAAGTCCCCAGATATTTCAGTGCTGTGGATACTGTCGGCCTACAGTATCACACTATCACTCTCTGTGTGACATTTACAGACTGTCTGATTCTTAACAACCCGTCTCTCTCTACCACAGGCTGAGACTCGTGCTGAGTTCGCTGAAAGATCAGTAGCCAAACTTGAGAAGACCATTGACGACTTGGAAGGTATGACTTTTTTTGCAGTTAATTTCAAAACTGTACTTTAATCTGTATGGAGTAGGCCTACATTTTATAGTATCAGTGGGTCTCATTCATGGCAATTCGGTAAGTGTCTATACTTCTTTCAAAATCCCTTCAACAAAAGGAGGAAATCCTCTTCCCTTCTATGCTACACCTCGTCAATATACTCTAATCTGTGCTCATCTTTGCTACCTCTCATCATTTCCATTATTATCATCTTTTATATTTTGAGCAACACGTGCCCCTGATTGAGTCAGTGTACTTTTGGGGCACATCTGAGTGGTAATGACTTTGTTAGTTGGACATTTGACGGGTCATCCTATTCACTCTATATTTACGTTTGTTCATAGATTGGGTTGTTTCTGCCGGTTGATCTGCAACAATTAAGTTGCATTGCATCTGCTTAATGAGAATGAGCTATTAGTCACAGTAAGGGATATGCTGCCCTATAGCTGCTTGTTACAGTAAATCATCCATCTGTAAGTTAAAGAATATATCATGAGGCTGTCATAGTAATTAGAAGGGCTGAAGTTGCAGCCATATGGTAATGACATCTCTGACATGAGATGTCCAGGACTCTGTTCACTATTTCTTGATGATGTTGAGGAATTTGTCATGGCCTCAATCACATTTCTGTTGCTATCCTCTTCTGGTATAACGTTTGTTTTTTCCTTTTCCATTCTGTCCATCTCTCTCTGTCTCTGTCACTCTCCCTGGGCTGTCTCACCCACCTCCCTCTGGGGTCTTGCTGATGACCCGGATCCCACACACCCCTCCACCTCTGCCCCCTCCTCCTCCCTGTCTGTGCACTTGGCCCACATCCCAATAGATGAGTTGTATGCCCAGAAACTGAAGTACAAGGCCATCAGCGAGGAGCTGGACAACGCCCTCAACGACATGACTTCCATGTAATTCTTCATCTGCGCTGCCTGCTTGTGCCTCTGTCGCCTCCTCCTTGCACCTCACATCCCCATTGTCTAGCCATCACAATCTTCTGTCTCTCTGAAATTCTCCATCCATCTACTGTTTCTGTTTGTACAAGATAGTGGTTCACGTTACTGTTAGAAAGCAGCTAATTATTTTTATACACTAGGTAGGTAGTCTTAAGGTCATAGTCAAAGGATAGTTAAGGGGGGTTGTATATTGTAAGTACTGGCCAACTATGGAGAAAGTGTTTTTAAGCTCACTCAGTGCTTTCCGTTCTCACACTTAGACTTGATTGTGGTTGTGAGGACGTTCTCTCCATTAGTCAGTTACCATTTTAGCAGTGCAGTAGAGTACTTGAACCTAGAGACTTGTTTTGTATGAACAGAATACAGCATGGAGGTTCTTTATTTACCCATTTGGACTTACATTTTGCTAACTACCATATTGTATTACTTTTTACATCAAGAAAAAGTCATCGTAAATCATTTTGTGATAGTATTTTAAATGTACATTGTTCGACCAACAAATTAATGTCTTAATTTCAAAATATTCATAATATTTTGTCAACCCTTAATGCATGTGAGGTGTCTATTGAAATGCAATATAATTGTTTTTGCATTTCAATGTGAGCCTTCTACTGGGTCTTAAACTGAGTTTCTCCATATAGTCAATGTGCTTTGTGTTTGTCTTCTGTACCTTTTCAAGTGTAGCCACTTGTTTCTAAGATGTTTCTACTACTAACACGGTCTACTTCTGTGTGGAAGAAAGGCCCATGCATCCCCCTTCAAGTTCCTTTTTGTTCATAACCGCAGTTGAGGGTTATCTGTCACAATCTACAATCTAGTTGCCTTTGGAAGTTGTCTTTTTGTTGAGTTTTGTGCCGTGCCCCTTTGGCATCTGAGAAGATATCAGATGTGTCAAAGCTGTACGAGGAGCACCACGTATGACTGTTTGGTCACCTGATGCTCCTCATGACTCCTTGGAAAGGTCTTCATGTGATCAGAGCGGTTTGGTCCAACCTTTGTTTTGTGTTTGAGGTGGTTGCTGCAGTAGTTGCTGTACATTGTCTGGATCCCTCACTGACAATACCTCACAGTGGGGCATTGTGGCTCTAGCCTGTCCTTTGTGCTGTCGCGCCAGTAGCGCTGATGTGTTACTGCCTTCTGTCTACCAACAGACCCCCTATAGCAGTACCTCACTGTACCTCTTCTCTTCCGCACAGATAAATTGTTTACACCTCATCAAAGACGCCTCCCGCCAGCTGAGCAGCATCTCTCTGCTCTCTCCAGCCTTTCTTCTATTTCCCAACCCTTCTGTCCATGCGTTCCTTTACTCCCCATGTTCTCATCCTCTGTCAGTGTTGTATCCTATCTCTTGTATAGAACCTTTGAATCTTTCTGTGTTGTATACAAATAAACCTCCTTCCTTCTATGTAAGCTTTATCTCCTTATTCTACCCTTTTCTGTTCCTTTTTCATTTCTATTTATTTTCAAGCGGCTCTAATAATAATAATAAAACTAGGAAGCCCTGATGTTAGTAATGTTTTCATCGTTTTTTTTAATGTCTTATGAAACCATAAACAAATGTTATGGTGCTGACATTCTTACAAGTTCAGTTGAAGGTACCTCTGTTGATTTAATGTCCATTGGTGTTGATTGACAATCAACATTTTCATTCATTTTGAGAAGCGAGATGTGTAATGTGCACTGAACATTTCTTGCAAGTAGGCCTACTTACAGCCTTAATGAAGGTATGTTTTTAGGAGCATCATGGCATTACACATACTGTTGTTAAAACAAATGTAGCTTCTTAGGCAAGTGTAATTTGGCTTAATACAGTATAGTTAATGTAATGTTTTGATAGGGAGGTGGCACATGTTGATGTTGGATTGCTGTTGAACGGGTAGGGGAAAGTAGTAGGCGTGAAGAGAAGCACAGTATGTAGGATTGTCTGCCTCTGCGTGTTGAAAGTGAGTTGGAAAGAGTAGTAAGATTGTTGACTATTGAGATGTTGATGACATGAAGTCTGCAATTTGCAATATCTTTTATTGTTGAAATAAATTAATAGATATGCACTTTCTGAATCTTTGTTTTCAATTAAAAGCGAACATCACAGGCACTAGCACTGAGTTAACTGCACCCAACTAGCAGTATTCATTCAGACAAATTGTTAGCCATTTTATGTGTTCCAAGCACTTAATTAATTCACAACAAGACTGTTACAGAGAGGGTTGAATGTCCAGGCCACTCAATGATATGGCTGTTCTCCCACAGTCAGGGTTTCATGTAGAACCATGTGGTGTGAAATGGGCATGTGGAATATCCTGGGCATTTATGACATCAGGAGGTGGTCCTCCATACAGGGCTGGAATTTAGCAGCTTTTATACTGCCTCAGTTGCACCTATAAGACTTTAAGCAGGATCTGTACAGTACATGCCTTCTGGTGCTGGAAGGTATATTTAGACATTGAGTAGAGCCCACTAGGCAAAAGTAGTCTGGCAATTTTTACTCATTTGCTCAATTATCCACCCCAGAGAAATGTTGTTTGTGTCTCCATTCGCAAAGTTCAGAGGTATTCCACCCATCCCCTTCTGCTGTTACTGCGCCACTGTTCTGTGGAGAGTAGGCTGTCTATATATCTATACCATTTTCAAACAAGGTAAGGTATCATCAGGTGTGAAGTGATCCCTCTTCAGCTCTCTAGTCTGTTACTGCACTGATTTCCTGTTTTCTTTCTCTCACTTTCCTACCTGCTTTCTGACTGCAAAGATCGCCTCTACCAGCAACTTGAGAAAAAACGCCTTCTTTCTAATGAACTAAGAGTGGCCTTGAATGAGGACTAAACAGTGTGAATGTTTCATCCATGTGAATGTTGACATTTTAATGCTGTGTAAGAAAGATACATGCTTGTGTTGTTTTGTATGATGCCCATAATGCTGGAGATAAGTGTTACTGCTGGCGAAACAAGCTATCCACAATATAATGGGTTATGGGTTCATCTCTATAATCTCTATATTTACTGTATACACTTACTTACAACTAGGTACCGTAATGTGCCTTTATATACCATTTAAATATAGTATACTATACGCACCACTATTGTTCATTTCCCCAGTTTAAAGCATGGTGAAGGCAATGCTATAAGAGTTGTGTGTACTGCCTGTATGGTTACTGCTACAGCATAGTTACATCATTGTTTTTTCTTTTAACTGAAAGCATGTTGCTTTTGATAGCTAATTATGTAGCTCTGTCTAACAGTACATTTAATTAATAGCCAAGGCCATCTTGAATATTGATGGGCCGTAGCCTGCTGTTGTGTGATGCTAGCTTGGATTTTAATATTTTTGTTTTATTTGGTGTTTAACAGAGAAACTGGCACATGCTAAAGAAGAGAACCTCGATATGCACCAGATGCTGGACCAGACTCTAATGGAACTAAATAACATGTGAAAGCCTGGTTTACCCACTATGGTTTTGGCTTTCTGTATTTGCACCTCGCATGCCATGAACCCTCCTTCCATTCCATGCCCATGTTGAGGAACACATAAACAGATGCTTTTCCTTTTGTACCGTCCTGCTTTCAGTGGAACTCAACAAGGGAGCAGAACTAAAGGAAAGGTACAGCATTTCCTTAACGAAGCCCAAATGAGAAACACTTCTATTTTTGCCAGCTGATTTATAACGTCAGCATTTTGTAATCATTGAGTTTAGTTTGTTTTTGACAAAGTTATCAGGTGAAATTACGTGCCATTTGCTACAAAGGTTATTTTAATCTGCATTTGATAGATTGAAGGGGATGACTCTGGTACATACCCATTTCACCCTGGTTATGCACATACCTTACATTTCAATCAAAGACAAAGTGGAAAAATGTTGCACTTAATTCAACTTCAATGTACGCACATAATTAGTAGTGTAGGAGAACACATGCTTTTAGTTTTTGAAGACTTCTGTATTTCTTATTTAAAGTTTCCTCAGAAGTGTTAAGTATACATTGGATAAGCCTGTCCACATGTATATTGGTGCTGTGTCGTCAAGCAGTTGGGGGGTCGTTCCACTTATTCGGTGCCTTTTTGAGAAGTGTAACTTGATTTTACCTAATTTAAACATTCTGTCATAAAGAGCACATTCATGTTCAACATTTTCCCATCTCAAGAGTAGAAAAAAAAGACTGTGTCAAATAAAGTAACAGGGTTGGTTTGACCGTAACAGGGTTGGCGATTTCATCTTAAATCAGCCATGAATCCCCTTGTGACATGAGGAATAGAAGCTTGTTGTGTGCAACGTTTCTAGCCTGTATCTAAGGGTAACAGGGTTGATGTGTTATGCTCAACCCACTCGGTTTTCCACCAGAAAATTGCCAAAAATAGTAAAACCAGCGCACCTGCTTTTACACTATGATGTGACTATTAGATGTTCAATGTTTCTTTCTTTCTGTCAAAGCTACAAAATAACTAGGGCTTTACAATGATGGTGGAAGTGTAGACATTTTGGAGTTAAGTGGGGTAAAATCTTCCTAGAAGTCAGAGGGTGCACGGAGGGACATGTCAAAATGCTGAATTTTGGCACTTTAGCAAGTATTTATTCATATTAAAAATCAGATTGATTGAATTCTCCATGTGGTCTATATTAAAAGGCACTTCCTTTTAATATAACAGGCTTTTCAAAATCAATATCAAAGGGATGCAAAAGGCACTCTTTTCGTGGAACAACCGTAGGAAATATGTCTGTAGGCCAAAATTCATTTTGTTTGTATACAGATGATTATTATGTTTCTTGTTTGGTGGCTATATTAACCCCTGGCTAGAAAGGGATCTACCTTTACTTCTGGAGTGTATTTATTTTTATTTTCATCATTAAACACATTACAAAATGTATGGCAACATTCTTGCAAAATGCATTCCTTGTTTTTTTTGTTTTTGTTTAAACCATGGTTTGAAACATTTGACTTGTCTAGCAATATGATTTCAATCATGTGGGTCTGCCTAGTTTGTTTTACTATTGTTTTATTAAATATAGATGTTTTAAATGTATATCATCTGAAATGTAAAAAATAGTGAATATAAATAAAATGGCACAGTTTGAGATTTTCTAAAGAGTGGAGTATTTTTATTTGGGTATTGTGTCCTTGAAATCTGTTTTTTATATATTGAAAAGTATCCTCAATATTTTTAGTAAGTTCCCATTGATCGTGTTTGTAGGATGTCTAAAAACCTTGTTGAACCCTCAGCTTCATGTGTTTCCAGAACAAATGTTAATCTGTTCATCTGCCAGCCTTATTACATTGACTGCTCACTCTGGTCTAGGCCTTGGTTTGACTTCCACAGAGAGAGAGAGAGAGAGAGAGAACCATGTCATAAGTGTGCATGCTTATAGATCACTGCAGCTCTGAGCACTGGACTGCAAGGCAATGCAGCAAAAATAGTCATGTTAGTCATACAAGAATATAGTCTAGTCTACCCATTGTACACTGAACAAAAATATAAACGTAACATGTTTACCAAGTGTTGGTTTCATGAGCTGAAATAAAAGATCCCAGAAAATTTCCATACGCACAAAAGGCTTATTTCTCTTAGATTTTGTGCACAAATTAGTTTACATACCTGTTAGTGAGCACTTCTCCTTTGCTAAGATAATCCATCCACCTGACAGGTGTGGCATATCAAGAAGCTGATTAAACAGCATGATCATTACGCAGGTGCACCTTGTGCTGGGGACAATAAAAGGCCACTCTGAAATGTGCAGTTTTGTCACACAACACAATGCACCAGATGTCTCAAGTTTTGAGGGAGTGTGCAATTGGCATGCTGACTGCAGGCATGTCCACCAGAGATGTTGCCAGAGAATGTAATGTTACTTTCTCTACCATAAGCCGCCTCCAACATTGTTTTAGAGTATTTGGCAGTACGTCCAACCGGCTTCACAACCGCAGACAACATGTATGGCGTTGTGTGGGCGAGCGGTTTGCTGATGTCAACGTGAACAGTGCCCCACGGTGGGGTTATGGTATGGGCAGGCATAAGCTACGGCCAACAAACACAATTGTATTTTATCGATGGCCATTTGAATGCACAGAGATACTGTGACCAGATCCTGAGGCAAATTGTCATGCCATTCACCTGCTGCCATCACCTCATGTTTCAGCATGATAATGCACAGCCCCATGTCGCAAGCATCTGTACACAATTCCTGGAAGCTGTTCTTCCATGGCCTGCATACTCATCACCAGACATGTCACCCATTGAGCATGTTTGAGATGCTCTGGATCGACATGTACGACAGCATGTTCCAGTTCCCGTCAATATCCAGCAACTTCGCACAGCCATTGAAGAGGAGTGGGACAACATTCCACAGGCCACAATCAACAGCCTGATCAACTCTATGCGAAGGAGATGTGTCCCGCTGCATGAGGCAAATGGTAGTCACACCAGATACTGACTGGTTTTCTGATCCACACCCCTACCTTTTTTTAAAGGTATCTGTGACCAACAGATGCATATCTGTATTCCCAGTTGTGAAATCCATAGATTAAGGCCTCAAATATTTATTTATATTTATTGATTACCTTATATGAATTGTAACTCAGTAAAAGCTTTGAAATTGTTGCATGTTGCGTTTATATTTTTGTTCAGTATAATTTGTCATCTATTTTTGGTACTAAAGCTTGGTTTTATAGCTGTTTAATTTAAATGTCATGCATTTGTAATATGTCAATTCCAAGCCTAGTGCTGTGACACCGGTCACTGGATTATAAATGACCCATCATAACACAACTAGTTGTATGCCTGGTGAGATTGCAAGGAGTGAAAATGTAAACAAGCTCATACAGAACAGAGGGCATTGTTACTCTCTAGGTGCTGACAGGAGCCATGTCCTGGCATGTGACCTCTGAGAGAGTACTTTGTCACGCTGGGGACTGGGTGATAAACTGAAGTGAAGGTAAGGTGAGAGGACTGTCAGCCAAAGAAAGGACATAGGCCTAGGCCTACTACTACTACTGGCACGTCACCTCTCAGAGAGAGATGGTCATCAGTATTAATAACAATCCAGATAAGGAAGGATACTCATGAAAAAGCCGTTATGGGGCCATCCGTCTTTCTGGTCCCTTTTTTATGGACATACGTTTTGTTTATGGCTTTTTATAGACCTGAGTCCTAGTTGTGATGCCGATATTGTCTTGAGATAATTTGATGATGTGAATGGTTGTGTGTGGTGTGTCATTGCGGTTTGGTTGTGGTATGCTGTCATGTTGTTGTTGTTGTTGCAGATTTACAGTGCCCAAGTAATTGTCCCTCGGAGATAAACATTTTGATTGAAATGAATAAAAAAAATCATGCATGAATTTGATACATTTTGAATATTCCGTTCTAGAACAAATGTTGTCATATGTAGGCCATGCCTTTATAAAGTAGTAAATCCGTTGAAATTGTTGATTGCGGCTAGTGCTGTCTGAATCGGGGATTGATTAACGTTGTCTGACGCAAGCAAGGGACTCAGGAAATGTTGCAAACTCGATTCGATTGTAGCGATTTTCTACAGTAAAACAAACGTCAGTCGGTCGATAGTCTACAGAAAAGTCAATATGTCGCGGTTACTATACTCGCCATTCAAGCGTTTTTGTGTGAAGTGTAAAGATTGTCCTGCAGTGACTGCGCGCTGCTACAACTCTTTGTTGACTTCAACTCGCTTCTCCCAGCTGTCAAAACAACAGACCTTTGTAGTGTTACAACAGCAGCAGAGAAAATGTTTCGGACCTTCACGTCTAATAACATCTCGGTTTTACTCAAGGTCAAGGTTTTGGATTGGGGGAATCGGTGCGGGCGTTGTTTTAGCTTTGGGATTGAAATATCACACTGACATAACTGAGCTCTCATGTGAAGAGGACTTCCAACAGACTGGAAGATATGGTGCTGCCATTCAAGTTAGTAGAGACCTTGTTCAGCGGATAAAGGTACAGGTATTTGACGTTTTTTGCATTCAGAATGTTTTTCTCCTGAAATTAAATGTTTAATTTCATAACATTCAGTTGGCGCATGCAGATCAAAATCACCATGTCAGAACATGTTCATGCATCATCTGTCTGTATATCTGTCCATCACCTCTTTCTTGCTTGGTGTAACAGGATGAGGTTGGGGCTCCAGGGCTGGTGGTCGGTGTGTCTGTGGATGGCTCTCAAGTCTGGTGCGAAGGTTGGTGCCATGCAGTACCTTTTATGTTCACTGTAGTAGACAATACACTTTCTCCTCATATGTTCACAAAGTAATCCAATGCATAATGCTGCTGTGTCAAACAGGCTCCTAACTAACTGACGTCCATGTTGCAGGACTTGGCTATGCTGACTTGGAGAACCGTGTGCCCTGTGGACCAGAGACGGTGCTGAGGATCGCCAGCGTCAGTAAACCCCTAACTACAGCAGCAGCAGCCCGCCTGTGGGAGGAAGGGAAGCTGGACCTCGATGCCCCTGTCCAGAAATATGTCCCTGAGTTCCCCCAAAAACAGTTTGATGGAGAAGATGTAAGTTGAGTTTCTGAGAAGTTGGAATAAAGATGCATTCCAAACGAGCATGATCCTCTCACCTCAAGTACTATTTAACCTACATTTTTCACAATTTTTGGTTTTGTGTTGTTCTTGAGGGTGTTTTTTTCTCTTTGACATATAGGTGATAATAACTCCACGGCTGATTCTCTCTCACCTGAGTGGCATACGGCATTACGAAAAGGATGCCAAGAAAGTGAGGGAGGACAGGGTGAAGGCCAAACAACCTTTAAAACTGCCTGGTAAAGAGGAAAAGAGCTTGTCTGAAAACAAAGAGAACCCCAAGACAGAGGACAGCAGCACCAGGAGCAAGGAAAACAAACAGACTCAGAAGAAAAAGGAGTTTGAGCAAGAAGAGTACTACCTGAAAGACAGCTTTGAAAGTGTAATTCACTCCTTGGACCTGTTCAAAGACGACACTCTCGTTTTCAAACCTGGTAGGAGCTATGGAAGAGTTATCCCTGTCAATCAAATGAATCCTATGTGTATTCAAATGAATTGACATGAAAGTAAACTAGTGGTTTGTCATCTGCAGGCACCACCTTCCTGTACTCGACCCACGCCTTCACCCTCCTCAGTGCCGTGGTGGAGAGAGCTGCAGGCCAGCGCTTCCTGGATCACATGATGAAGATGTTCAGGGAACTGGGCATGCTCAACACTGTGCCAGATGAGAATGACCCCATTATCTATAACCGCTCAAGGTAATGAGTGACCAATCTCCATTTTGCTTCACTGCATATCAGTGGTCGATTGGTCTAAGATCAGCTTGGTTATTGTGTTCTGTTTTTAAAACAAACTATTTTTTGTTGTTGCAGGTTTTATCATTTCAGTAAGAAAGGACACATAGTAAACTGCCCTTACGTGGATAACTCCTATAAGTGGGCAGGAGGTGGCTTTCTCTCCACTGTGGGAGACCTGCTCCTGTTTGGGAATGCTCTGCTCTACAGCTACCAAGTGGCCTACCTGAAGGACGGCACAGACCTCCTGCCTGGCTTCCTCAAACCAGAGACAGCCCAGGCTCTGTGGGCCCCTGTGGACAAGACAGAGGCCTCCTGGGATAAGGATGGGCTGTATGCACAGGGCTGGCTGGTGGTGGAAAAGGAGCAGAAGTATGGCCAGTGCAGAAGCCGCAGGCATTATGTCTCACACACAGGGGGCGCCGTGGGGGCCAGCAGTGTCCTGCTGGTGTTACCCAGCGAGACAGCCCAGCAGCCCGAAGGATTGACTACAGCCCTACCTCAGGGAATAGTGGTGACCATCATCACTAACATGCAGTCTGTGGGACTCAACAGCACAGCACTGAAGATCGCCCAAGAGTTTGACAAAGCCAGAGGCTAATGAGAGTTTATATTGTTTACAAATATAGAAGGTTAAAACTACCACAAAGTATCAATGCACTGCAATATCTTTTCCAATGGCAGTGGATGAATGATTTATCAAAAGCACTCATTTTTATATTTGAATTTGATACTGCTTTTTATACATTTCGGCCTGTTTTGTTCAGTAATAAAAGACAATGTTCTACATGTGTGTGCATTGAGTAATAAGTCATTAGTTTGGAAGTGTAAATCTTGATGCAGATGAGTGACAACCGTTCTCACCTTTGCTCAACTGAGCCTACTAATCTCGCCACTAGGTGGCAGCAGTATACTGCTTTGCTATAAATAGGAACCAGTGACTTCTGAAATCACAGTCTGTTCAATACTGATAAGTACCTAAATGGTTTAATCTACTTCCTCTCTACTTCAGCAAACTAATTGTAGGTCATACTGGGTAGGAAGAGCATGATGATATTGGGAGGCCTGAAACTACCCACATAGTCAGCCGTTTGCATTAGGTCTTAAGTGTACTGTCTGTTGAATCGAAATTAAATTCACCCCAACCCTGGTTTGCCTCATTACTACTCATCACATATGAAACACATCAGGCTGAGTGGTGAATTGGCGTGGTCTTAATGGGCCGTGAATAGATGACTTGAGTACTAGTAGTTCATTTAAAGATGAGGGACTCTTAGCACCATCTGTTGGTTGGGTCTCAAATGTGCATCTGAAATGGAACTGGGGATATCTATGGATATTATAATATACCACTCACTATCTAAATCTGAATTCTCTATGATCCAGACTCATTGATGAACCTCTCATGAATGCCAATACCCCAATGTAAACCATTGTATTTATAGTGGGAATTATAATCCTTACTTATAGCTCAATTACATCACTTCAATAGTCTTGATTGACATTGATTACTGAAGAAGACAATACCTTCTTTCCTCATACACAATTACAAGTAATGTACGATTTATTATTGTGGTTTGTGATATTGCACATGATGTACATTCATTCAATAATACAAGAAAGATGCTTACTGTAACTAATGCTCACTTCATGTTTGACTTGTATGAAAGTTGAACAAATAGATGCATTATTGACACATTGAGAAAAGCATGTAAATTCTACATGAAGTATTCTAGGTATTGCCCCACTGTACTCTAATCTATGGTATCACAGGCTTAGAGAAAGCGCACATTAACAATTTAACTTCTACACACTCAATTACTTATCTGTCAATCAAAGCAAAGACTAAGCAAACATTTTACAGTCATAGTTTTCCTTTGAGTGAAGGCATCAGGTTTCACTCCATTCCATTCCATCCACCAGCTTTTAAAGCATGTATTGTGTGTCAGTGGGAAATAGCCAATGGCATGAAACTCATTGGCTGCGTTTACACATGCAACCAAATTCTGAATTATTTTCCACTAATTGGTCTTTTGACCAATCACATCAGATCTTTTCACATCAGATCTTTTTCAGAGCTGATCTCTGATTGGTCAAAAGACCAGTTAGTGAAAAAAAAGATCAGAATTGGGCTGCCAAAACGCAGCCATTGTAACAGGTTGTAATCAGTCCTACACCCAGTCACACAGTCTCGAGAAAAAGTATTGTGGCTGACTGGCTGTGTGTCTACAGCAGCTTCAGCTTCTGATGGCCACTCAAACAGGCTGCAGCTTGACATTTGGCGCTTGCTGCAGAATGTTTGTGGATATACGTCTCCTCTGTCCTCCTGGTCCTTCATAGCATCTCCAGCAGCATCCAGACCCACACCATATCGCACCACCGTCCATGAAACATTTTGTTATACAATCCAATGTCCCCAAAACAATATGCAACAGGCCTCATACAGGCCTCATACCCTGGGCTCTACTCTCCAATACTGTTGTTCACTGCTTTTCTGCTTGTTCTTTGGTTTGGCCTTCCATACCCTAACAATAAAACAAATACAAGGAATGACACAGACGTAGAAGAAACTGTATCAGACCTGAAAACACTATTCCTGCATACTTGTGGATTAATTAATCAAGCTAAATGAATGTGTTACTTACTTGCAGGTGTAGTAGATTACCACTGCCAACATGACTAGAATAAGAACGACAATGATGACCACAGCAGTGATCAGTCCTGTCTCCCCTGCATCATGTGCAGTGGTGAACAGCTGGTACTGCTCACACCGACTGCCTTTGTAGTTCTCACTGCAGCTGAGGGAGAAGGAACCGCATTATTCTCAAGCAAGCTGTCACCAGTTGAGAACCAAGAGCCAGGGTAGGTCTACCTGGTCTGAGCTGAAGTAAAACAAAGGCTAAAACACCATGCAGAAGTTCCCAGAACTTCCTTAGCCCATTGCCAAGCAACACTGTACACCTGCTCATGGCTGACACTGTTAGAGACATTAGAGAATAGTGATGAGAGAGTAACTTACACACAAGTAAGTGTATCCATAAAAGGAATTTTAAAGCATTTTCCTCCATTCATACAGTAAGAAACCTCTAACTCGTTACATGGGTCACCATGGTCTACAAAAGAGAGAATAGAAACATTTCAGAATAACAGACACATAAAACCAATACAATTACATCATATGGCAATTCTCAATAGCATTCCTGATCAAATGATTTTGCCAAACTCTTTTACCTGCCATCATTTGAATGTTTATTTTCCTTGTTTCTATCCTGAAGAATGTGACAGGGTTCTCTTAGATCCCCACCTAAGAATGATGTACAATGTACAAAAGTAACAGCTCATTATTAATCTACATAGACAACATTATGAATTTACATAGACAACATTATTAATCTACATAGACAACAAGATAATCAGAAAAAAGGCTTCATGTTTTGTACTTTCTTTCTACACTAAAACAAGGTATGACAGAAATAAACTGGTTATGCGTCCTTAATCATATCAAGGTCTTATCACCGTTGTATGAAAATAATAAAGTGGTTTGTTATTCTCTTACAAATAGTATTGTTATGAATCTGTACTTACCACCTCATGAAATCCCAGTTTGTGGTAGGGTTAGTGCAAGTTTCCAAGGTGAATCACAGAGATAGACTGTTGAAAATAACTCTGACAACTGCTTTTTGTTGGGCCTTCAAAGGCACTAATGTGGGCGTGTTCCTTTGAGCCCAGAAATGTTGTGATAGCTGTTTGTCCACATTGTAAATGGCATTTATGTCAGGATTTTCTCTATTGATTCTGACTCATTTTGGTAGGATGCCTGATATAGTGAAATGGGGTCGTTTTCAATGACTGCCTCAGAATACAATATTCCCACTATAGAGTAAGTAAACAAAGGCTTTTATGAGTCACTTGTGGAAATGATAGATACTTTTACAATGTTGACATTTCACTAAGAGAATGTGCAGTGGTGGTTTACCTTCATACAGACAATAGGTGTCTGCAGTCACTGTAATGATACAGGAATGGATTAGTTTGTCAAAGCCAAGTAATTATGATTGGATCACACAATCTATCCAGGTGGGGTGTGGATCACCTGGTGGATCACCTGTTTTCTGTGTGACTTCAACTTGGCTTTAAATAGACAGCCTGTGGGTATGGTGAGAGGCAATGGAATGACTGGTATGGTGAGAGGGAATTGGAACAAACAGCACCGGCATAGCTAGAATCGTGGGAACTTTGCTTTGCTCTGGGAATCTTAATGACATTCCTCCTGCCTCAACACTTCCAGCATTCTTGTAAACATTGTTCTGTGGACTTCTTCAAAACCGTTAGCAGTTCACTTATCTACCTAGGCAGCTTTGGAGGACCAATACAATCCTATTGATATATTGTCACATTGATCAAATAACCCATATGCTATGTTGAAAAACACTATTAGGGAGTGATCATCTTGTCACATAGTGTTGAGAATTTAACTGTCAGGTCAAACACTATAGATTGTAGATTGGGAAATGTGTCTATTCAGAATAGTTGGTTATCATGCAGTTTATACTTCACAAACATTCAACGTTAAAATACACTTATGTCAGAGATAAAAGTCAGGGATAAGTGCTACCTCTTGTAATCATACTTACTATGTAATGTTTAAAGGGGCAATCTGCAGTTGCTTCATCCATTTTTGGACTTCTGAATGAATGAAATGTACCCATTGATTCTTAAAGAATGTAACTTATGAATGTCTTACCCCATCAGAACCCAAAATATAAGCGTTTTTCATTCCAATGTCTGTAAACAAAGTAAATGTAAACAAACACTATATAGCCTCAAACGTGGTTAAAACTATCATGTTGATATCATGGATGGTCAGTCCTTGCATTCATAGCTCTGTCTATGAATTTGAGAGTGGTTACATTCCTCCAGCCCTATCCATCAGCTTTTTATGGAAACAGGGGTGGCGAGAACGCTTTTTGGTTGTTTCAACTACTGATTGCCGCTTTAAATAGGCCTACTACTTTTTTAAACTACAAGATTGCCTCAATGTTAGTCATAATCTGAGGAACCTATAGCCCTGCATACTAGATCTATGAAAGTTATGTGATTGATTGTTTCTTTACACCATGGTTTAGCCAATTGTCTCATAGACAAAATCCGTTTGATATTTTATCAGAAAAACCTTGAGAATAGTGACATGCAAGCCTTTTAGGATCCCGTTAATATTTAGCAAGGTGACTGGAACTGTAACTGTATGCTGTCCTGCTATCACTGCGACATTATCGCGAGGAACACAGATTAAGCTCTGAAGAGGTGAAGTGAAGCGAGAGTGTTTTTACATCGACGCTTCTGGGGGTGGTTGGCATGAAAAAGCTCGGTATGACTGCCATAAAGACGTCAGTTATTTCGGATTTTCATCTCACATTTCATTGTGAGAGATAGTTTGTTGTCTCGCTTCTATGGATGACGCGGGATCACAATTCAGCACCTGGACAGCTCCTGGTCATGAACCTATTACTGGGCACATGGTCCCTAGCGTGATTGTAGGGAAACCCTGTGAGCAGGCGCGATTTGGGCACTAAAATGCCCTCCTTCTGAAAGATGACGTTTAACTGAATATGTGGATAGTGGTGGACATTTAAAAGCATCTCCGTGAATGATGATGCTTACAGTAAGGATCGGGCTTTTTCGTTGTGCCCTGTATTCTAAGCAGCAGAACGGGTCGTTAGCCAATCCAAATCTGAAGAGGATAGCAGCAGCCTACACACAGCAACCGAGCCTCGCTCACACTGATCATCGGCAAGGGAGACATTACCATCATCATTAGGAGGGCATGAGTCAGGACCATACTTTCAACAATGTAGAGCATAAAAGGTAGGTTTATTTGTCAGAATTGCATATTGATAAATCATTTTGATACTTCCTGCCTGTGACTTCGGCTCCTTCATCCATTCCTCCCCCTTTTCTTTTATTGTCGTCTTAATGACCACAATAATTGTCTTATTCGGAATTTATCATTGCTGCATTGGCTTTGCTAAATTATCAGGAAAACATATAATGTACTATGTTTAGTATCTACTGTGTAGTAGCAACCTATATGTCTGTTGTTACACGTGCTTTGAACCAGAATAATAGTCATTGTAGAAAGCTGTCCAAGGCCTTGTGAAAAATAATGGAGACATAGTAGCCTTAATCAGTTTAGCAGGGATCAGTGTTGACACGTCTTTGAGGTAGAACCATGTGTTTGTTGGGGGAACTTCGAATGTAGGATACATTTGGGGTTCTGACTGAGGAGGTGGATACTAAAATGTAGACAGTAGACTATTGGGAAGTGAAGGGTTTGGACAATATTAAATGGTTGCATTGCTGTATGTCGTAATTTCCTGGGGAAACCATTTGAAAATCAATTAATTATAGTCTGTATGGAGGAATGCAAGAGCTATGTTGGAGACAACATGGATATATGGCAACAGTTCATCTACAGCCTGCTAGAGGGATCTCTTATCTTGATTATGAGTATACAGAAGTGTAAGTATTTACTAAAGTCTTGGAATTTATGGATGTTTTATGCAATATTCTACCTGGTCCCAGAAAGCTTGTCTCAAAGACCTAACTTGTTTGATAGGTTGTCAAGTCAAGTCCAGCCCTTGAATTATGGCCACATCCATCCATTAGGAACTGGGATTGACTGGTTTAAAAAAAAAAAGAAGTCCTCCATACAGTATCTCCAATGCTTTAATTTCACTCACTTGTCTTTTCTGCACAGGTCAAACAACCTTTCCACCGCATAGCCTACACTATTGCCTGTGCTGTGGCCAGATTTTATATAGGTGCCAGTTGTGTGCAGTCTTTTTTCTTGGGCATTGCAGTGATGCAATATTACACTCTAGTCCTTGAATGACCTGAATTGATTTATCTTGAATGACATCTAATCTGCTGTGCTACATTACTCTGTTCTGCTATAGCTCCGAATACTGACTCCACACCACACATCACAGCTCGTGTGTCTGAAGGTTTTCCCGTTGCCTTTGTTTGTAAGACAGACACTACCCTGACTTCATACAACTGAACCACTCCTCCCACCCAGCATTTAAATGATTGAAGCTCAGGTTAAACGACCTCTACAGCCCATACTACTTACTGATATGTGTTTATATTGCCGCTGACAACTTCATCAGACTTTTCAAAAGTGAGGCACTTGCAAATTGAGCTTCAGTTTATACCTGCAATGTGGGGAATGCAGCTGTCTGTGCAGTAATATCCCTTTTCAAAGACTTAGATATTTGTGATTCTGTCTGGGTAAAGCCTATGCACCTGGCTGTTCTTCACTCATGTTTACTCTCTGTGGAAAGCTGATGGAATGGACTGGAAATGAACTCTTCAATGTATCTATTCCATTTACATTTATGTCATTTAGCAGACGCTCTTATCCAGAGCGACTTACATTATATATTTCTTCATACCGCCTGTGGGAATCGAACCCACAACCCTGGCGTTGCAAACGCCATGCTCTATCAACTGAGCTACATCCCTGCCGGCCATTCCCTCCCCTACCCTGGACGACGCTGGGCCAATTGCGTGCCACCCCATGGGTCTCCCGGTCACGGCCGGCTACGACAGAGCCTGGATTCGAACCAGGATCTCTAGTGGCACAGCTAGCACTGCATCGCAGTGCCTTAGACCACTGTGCCACTCGGGCCTATTGCATAAAGTGTTCTCATCCTTCCTTACTTGCTATGCAAGTGATGTGATGTTTCTGAGCCCCTGGTGCAGAGTTAAATCTGTCATGAGAATGTTTATGTTTAATATCAATTGATTGTTTTCAAGCTATTCTGTCAATTCATAAAACATTTCATGAACATGACATTCAAAACAAATGTTAAATAGTTAAAAGTATAATGAACAAGTGTTTATACATGAGATGTGTATACTATACTGTTGTCAGAATGTGAATAGTTATGGAGAGACTGTGACTAACTTCCTTGTTTTCTAACCTTTCTTCACAGGTGTGGTATGAGCCAAGTCTCTACTCTCTGGTTAAATCAAGAGTAACAATCTTGTCGACGTCCATTCACAGAAACAACACAGCAACATGAGCAACCCCCAGTAAGTAAAACAAATGACTACTGATGTTAATATCTGTTTAACACATCAAAACCTCTCAGCAGCAGGGGAATAGCGGGGGAACAGCGGGGGAACAGCAGGGAGCAGCAGGGGAGCAGCAGGGAAACAGCAGGGGAATAGCAGAGCAACAGCGGGGGAGCAGCGGGGGAACAGCAGGGGAGCAGCAGGGGAGCAGCAGGGAAACAGCAGGGGAATAGCGGGGCAACAGCAGGGGAGCAGCAGGGAAACAGCAGGGGAATAGCGGGGCAACAGCAGGGGAGCGGCAGGGGGAACAGCAGGGGAATAGCGGGGCAACAGCGGGGGAGCAGCAGGGGAACAGCAGGGGAATAGCGGGGCAACAGCAGGGGAGCAGCAGGGGAGCAGCAGGGGAATAGCAGGGAAACAGTAGGAGAATAGCAGGGCAACAGCAGGGCAACAGCAGGGGAGCAGCAGGGGAGCAGCAGGGAACAGCAGGGGAATAGCAGGGCAACAGCAGAGGAGCAACAGGGGAGCAGCAGGGGAATAGCAGAGGAGCTGAGTTAGCCTGAGCTAGGCACT